TTGGCGGCCGCGGGACCAGCCTCGGCCACATCCCGTGCTGAGGTGCCACCGCACTGCTCGCTCCGGGCGATCCTTCCCGTCCCACGGGCAGCATCTCCCCTCTGCCGCCCCACCGTGTCCTGTCCTGCGGGGACGTGTCCCGGTGCCCCTCCAGAAGCCACGTCACAGAGACACCCGCGCCACGGGGGACCCGACCCCGAGAGCCCACCCCGGATGAGCCCCGGGACTCGTCCGCCCCCATGCTCGGTCCCGCGGGTCCCGTCCCGACGCGGCGGCCCCGGCCGTGCCCCGCGCCCCCCCTCCCGGTGCAGGCGGGCTCCCGCGCGGGTGCCCGCGGCTCGGGGCGGCGCGTGACCGGCTGCCGCCGCCGCCGCCCGCTCCGCTGCAGAGCCCGGCCCGCCCGCACCGGCACCGGCACCGGCAGGTCAGCGCGGGGGGCTGCGGCCCCCGGGGCACCGGCACTGGGGCCGCCGGGGCTGTGGCGGGCGGCGGGAGGGGGCTGGCGGCACCACGGCCCGCGCATCGGGCACCGAGCGGCGGGGCCGGCCCGGCGCGCTGCGGGCGGGGTCGGCGGGATGCGGCGGTCGCACCGTCCCCGCTCTGGTCCCGCACCGGCCGCGGCCCGGCCCCGCAGCGCAGCCCCCGCCGGCTCCTGCATACGCACCGCGGGGCCGCCGCCGCCGCAGCCTGACGGTCCCGGCCCCGTTCCCGGCCCGGCGGGGCTGAGCCGCGTGTGCGGCGGTGGCGCGGGGCACCGGGCCGGGCATCCCCGCCGGGATGCGGCCGGGACTCGCCAAGGTGAACGGTGCGTGGCAGAGCGGGGCTGCCGCCGGCGGGGACGCCGGGAGAGGACACTGGGGACGGAGAACCGGGGAGTGGACACCGGGAGGGGAACCGGGGATGGAGCACCGGGGAGGGGACATTGGGGATGGAGCACCAGGAAAGGGACATCGTGGACGCTGGAGGTCGGGAGCACTACACACCAAGGACCAACCGCACCACAGACACTGAGATGGGGAGCACCGGGGACACTGGGAAGGGAAAGACTGGGAATGGGGCCACCGGGGATGGGGACAGCTGGGAACAGGGCTCAGGGCTACTCGAGAAGGGACAGTCAAGCCGCTGGCTCTCTCGCTGGGCAGTGGGTGGCCACGGGCACAGCAGCCCCACGGCCAGTTGCGCGAGTGCCCCGGGCGGCTGCTGTGGGTCCTGGCTCACCAAACCCCCATCCCCGCAGGGCCAGCTGGGTACTCACCATGGCTGCAGCACAGCTCGTCTCCTGGGGGATGCTCCTGGCCACCGTGGTCCCCGCCGGGGCCCAGGGTGGGCTGCCGGAAGGGATGTCTTTAGGCGAGGACCCCTTGCACAGCGCTGCCTGGGGACAGCAGTGGCCGGGCCCATCCCCCACCTGGGAGGCATCAGGGGAGCCGAGCGGCACCGGGGACTCCAGGAGGGAGCGCTGGGGGGGCAACAGCCCCGTGCACTGGTCCCCACCGCTGCAGGCAGGGTATGGCACGGGGGCACCCCTGAAGATGGAAACCACTATGACGGGCGCTGATACCAGGGCCTGGAGAGACGGCAGCACAGCCCTGGCTGTGACAGAGGAGCCGCTTGTCACCTGGCGAGGACATGAGGCTGAAGGCCAGGACAGCCCTCTGCCTCACAGCTCTGCACCGGGCACACTGGGCCCTGGGGTGCCCACGGACACAGGGCCACCCTGGGCAGGGCAGGGTCTGTCCCTGTCAGGGCAGAATGCCACAAAGACAGCTGGCACTCCCAGCCCTTGGCCAACCGTATCCACCATCGCTCTGAACCCCCTGCCGGCAGTGGGAATGGGGACAGCAGATGCCCACACAGGGGGACAGACAGTGGTGGAGGGACCCACGGCGGCCCTGGAGCTGCCTCAGGATGCACAGCTCGCTCCAGCCAGCAGCCAGTCAGTCCCACTGGGCACTGTCCCTGTCTCCCACTCCACAGGCACGGGGCCAACCCAGCGTCCCCACACCAGCCCTGGCTCTGCAGAGCCAGTGAGCAGCTGGGGGGACACGGGAGGGCCCTCCAGCCCCTTCCTGGCTCTGCCAAACTCTGCCCCACAGCTGCCCCACGCAACCCCATCCTGGGGACTGGCTGAGCCCTGGACCAGGGGGCTCCCGTCCCACCAGCGCAGCACCCGGAGGGCCCCGCTGAGCCACACCACCACCAGCCCCGGGGATGCAGCACCTCGCACGGACCCCAGGATGACTGGGCAGCAGGGACCCCAGCCCACCCCAGGGGCTGTCCTCAGCACCAGTCCTGCCCTCAGCACCAGTCCTGCGCCTCCACCCGCCTCCAGCACAGCCACCCCCGGCACCTCCAGCACAGGTAGGATCCAGCACAGTGCAGGGGACCCCTTGGTGGCAACTAAACGCCCACAGATGCCAGTACTCTGCTTTGCCCTCTCTCACAGGGCTGCTGCCTGAGGAGGACATCGGCTCCCCACAGCGGGTCCAGGGTGCTGTGGGCGCTGTGAGCATCCCAAATGCCACCAAGGGGACCCCACAGCCAGGAGCACATCCATCCACCACAGGGACACTCGGGACTAGGCACTCAGGTGATGCAGGGCTGCATTCAAGCCCATCCATTCTGCAGATGCTGTGGGAGCCCGTCCCCAGGGCATCAGGGCTGGTGGGGAGGATGGCAGCTATCTTGGGCTGCCCAGCTGGGACACTGTGACACCTTCAATCAGGATTGCACCTGACAACAGACCTAATCTATTCCTGCCTGCAGGGATTAGTGCTAAATGCTTGGCAGGTGGGGGCTTCCTCGGGGGAAGGGGGGTTGGGGACATGACCGGGGATGTGACACCCCCTGCACTGTGGGTCCTGACAGAAAACCCTGGGAGGCACCAGCGTGCAGAGGCCTGGCCAGCACAGAGCATCCCCCACTGCACTGCTGGGGTGCCACAGCGTGGGGTGCAGGTGGGGGCTGGATGCAACCAAAGCCCCCATCTGACTGTACTGACTGTACCCCTCTTTCCTGCCTGCAGGTACCTTGGGGACGCAGCCCCCCACCCCAGGCACTGCAACCCCAGGCACTGCAACCCCCTCAGCCACGTGGCGACGAGCAGGGGTGACGCCTCAACCAGCTCCCCGAAATCCATCCTTGCTGCAGCCACAGCCACAGCCCAGCCGTGCCCCGCCAGTACCAGGGGCCAACGGGACTGGGCTGCGCTGGGCTGAGCTGCAGCACGAGCTGGGCTTCTCCTGGGAGGCCCATGTCTATGGGTTGGCTGCCATCTTCCTGCTGCTGGCACTGGGGTGCCTGGTGGGGCTGGCAGGGACGGCCATCCTGCGGCCCCCACACCTGCCCCACACTGTGGGGGCCCATGGGCTGCTGCTGGCTGCCTGCCTGCTGCGAGCCACCTTCCTGCTGCTGGACCCCTACGGGGCACGGGGCCGCCTGCCTGCCCCGGCACTGCTGCTGCTCAGCACGGCTCCCTTCCCGCTGCTGCTCGCCTCCTTTGCCCTCCTGCTCCAGCGGCTCCAGCGCCTGGCCCAGCTGCGGCTGCTGCCGGCCCGGCTGCGGGGGCTGCCAGCGCTGGGGGCTGTTGCCGTCCTGCAGAGTGTGGTGCTGGGAGCCGCCGACCTGCTGCCGCCCCGCCTGGGCCCCGCCGCGCTGGGGCTGCAGGCGCTGGGCTGTGTGGCAGGAGCCCTGCTGCTGCTGGGGGGGCTCTGGGGGTGCTGGCGGGTGCTGCGGGCGCCCTCTGAGGAGCCAGGCCCAAGGCCAGGGGCGCGGGCACTGCTGGCGGCAGCAGTGGCGGGGCTGCCGGTCTGCGGGCTGCAGCTCTACAGCGCTGTGTGGCTGCGAGGGGTCCTGGGGCCCCCTGGGCGCTTCTCCCGGCCCGGCTGGGTGGCACAGCTCTGGCTGCGGATCGGTGAGCTGGGCACAGCCCTGGCGCTGCTGGCAGCCACCGCCGAGCCTGTGTGCTGCCAGTGCCACCGCCAGAGCCCCACTGGCCACTCCTGCTGGGCCAAGGCGCTGCGGTACTTCTGTGCTGGCCGCAAAGCCGAGGTGCCCGAGTACCCCAACAACTGCTACGACTGGGCCGGTGGGAGTGCCAGTGGTACCAGTGCAGAGCGGATACCCACCAATGACATCTCCAAGAGCCTCATCCGCAACCCGGCGGAGCAGCTGCCCCTGCGGGCTCTCAAGGACAGCAACGAGGCCTGGGCGGCTGGCGCTGGGATGCCAGGGCTCAGCCCCAAGTGCCCCAACCTGCTGGCTGCCCGCTCCTGCGCCACCTTCGAGCAGGGCTCGTCCCCCTCACTCGGGGAGCTGGTCTTCCGCCCGCCGTCCCCCATCGACCTGCGCCGCAGCATTGACCAGGCGCTCTGCCGCCGCCACCTCCTGCAGGACAGCCTCTTCAGCCGGCCCCGCCGTGGCTCGGGCACCTCACTGCATGGCTCCCCAGCCCCCAGCCCTGGCCTGGGGCGCATGGTGCGGTGCAGCTCCCTGACAGAGCTGCCCGGGCCCCGGCAACCCCCGGGCACCATCACCGTCACTGTCACCGCCTCAGCCAGCTCACTGGAGAGCAGCTCACTGAAGATCAGCTGGAACCCCTGGCGCCACGGGCTGTCCTCACCTGACAGCCTGCCCCTGGACGAGGCTCCCAGCCGGGCCCCTCTCCTGGTGCCCGCCGGACTCCCTGGCTGGGAGCGCGAGGGTCCCCGCAGCTTCCCAGCCCTTGGCAAGGCGGTGGACTCCCGCAGCCTCTCCAGCGACACCATTGAGCTCTGAGCCAGGGCCGGGCAGAGACTGAGGGTGCAGAGACTGAGGGACGAGCCCAGTGTGAGGGTGTGGGGGTCTGATCTTCTGCCCCTGCAGGGCCAGGCAGGGGCTGGCTCCATTTGTGCCAAATGAGAGAAATAAAGAATTTATGCTGGGAGGAGCTCCTGTTGGCATGTGGAGGTGGATAGCAGCACCTCCAGCCCCGCCCTGATCCCAGCCCTCAACAGCTGAGCTGGGTGTGCAGAGCTTTATTTCCTGAGATATGGACACACAGACAGATGGGCACACCCCGACGGACAAATGCAACGGCCACACTCATGCATCCAGCAGGGCCCCCCTCGCCCAGCATGGCACCCCCAGCAACATGGGGCCCTTGGCCCGTCCAGTCTGGGAGGGGAGATGGGCTCTGCCCAGGGACATGGGGAGGAGGGGTGGGATGGGGGGACAGCTCTCCCAGCCCCACAGCTCAGGGCAGAGGGGGGACCTAGCCCTTCACTGCCCCACAGGGAATGGTCTTATGGGAGGGGGGTCCTAACAGGGCCAGCAGCCCCAGCCTGGGGGCAGGTAGCAGGATCACCCTCTCACCTGCCCCCCCACCTCCACCTGCCACGATTCCAGGTCTCTCCTTCAGAGTACGAGGGGCTGGAGGCAGCATGCTGTGCCCCCCACACAGTGCCACGCTGCCTGGCATCACCCCTCCAGACAGAGAAGGCTGTGTGGGAGCCCCTGGGATCAGGTACCCCTGGCTCTTTCTGCAGGGGGGAGAAAACGAGATCCTACGCTAAGGCGGGGCTGGGGGACGCATGCAGGGCACAGCACTGTGTGCAGGATGCAGCCTCGTCAGCCAGCCCTGCTGGGGGGGGCCCCACACCTCAGGCTGAGCCCGCCTCCCCATTCATGCCCAGCAGCCCCAGAGCTATCTGCCCTTCATGAAGCCATCGAGGACACGGTCGCTGCGGTCAGAGAGCCAGTAGCCGGCCATGGCAGCCACGGCACCAATGAAGATGGCGGTGAAGACCATGTCGCCCTTGGCAGCCAGTGTGGCGAGTGCACAGATCATCACACCAAAGAACATCTGCTGCAGCACCACCACCTCGTCGTCGGTCACGTCGTCAAAGAAGCCTTTCTCCGGGGCATCTGCGTGGACAGTGCTCGTAGAGAGGCACAGCCAAGCAGCCAGAGCCCCCCCATTGCCACCCACACCCTCTACTCATCCCCCCACACTGTGTGAGCCGTACCAGGGGGCTTGTCCTCCACACACTGCCCATCCCGGCGGACGTGGCCTTGGGCACAGACGCAGCGGTAGCTGCCCTCCGTGTTCTCACACACCTCCTGTGCTCCGGTGCACACCGGCTCCTCGGCGCTGGCACACTCATCCACATCTGGGGAGGACACAGCGCTCAGGCAGGGCTCGGGCAGTGGGGAGGGGGCAGTACAGCCTGCCAGCCTACGGGAGGCACTTACCCAGGCACTTGGCTCCATCCCGCCAGTAGCCCTTGTTGCATTTCTTGCAGCGAGCCGGTCCAGCACCCATGCAGCCGATGCAAGCCGTGGAGCAGTCTGCCATGGGGAAAGAAGCCAGGGTTGGTCCTGGAGTACCCTCCCATCCCAGCCAGGGCTGGCCTCGAGCAGGGGAGAGCCACCTGCACAGAAATCCTCCACCTCCTCCTGACCTCGGCACTCGTAGGAGCCCTCCGTGTTGACGCAGTACTGGTTGGCTCGGCAATGCGCCATCTCTGTGCCACACTCGTCGATGTCTGTGGGAGAACTGGGGACTGTCCTGCCGAGCCCTTGGCTCCTGAGACACAGCCGCCCACGGCCCCAAGCTCCCCCCCGACCCTCACTCACCGATGCAGCGATGCTCATGCAGTACCCAGCCCCTCTTGCAGCGAAGGCAGCTGGAGTCCTCGGGCCCCGTGCAGCGCCCGCATGCCTGGTAGCACTCTGTGGCCAGGGAGAGCCGGTGTGGGTGCAGGCAGGGGGAGCTGCCTGCACCCAGAATCTGGGCAGCACCAGGGGAACCCCGGCTGCACAGCCCCCCTGGCCCCCACCTACCAGCACACATCAGGTGGCTCTTGTTCCGCGAGGCCTCATAGTAGCCATCACCACACTCGGCGCAGAAGGGGCCACCATAGCCCGGGCTGCAGACACAAAGGCCAGTGCCGCGGCGTGTGCCGTCGCCATCGCATCGCCCATTGCCGCTGCAGGGCTGCCGGGGCCCACCAGCGCAGGCTACACGGGGAGAGACCAGCCGGCTGACAGCTCGGGTGGGGTGGCAGCCAGGGGGGGCCCCTCCAGCCCCAGCACCACCCCGCTCATCCCACAGCTACTCACGCCGGCAGTCCGGGCCGTAGGTGCCAGGTGGGCAACAGAGCATCAGCCTGTCCACACACAGCCACTGGAAGAAGTCAGGGTGCTGCTGCTGCCTGGGGAGCGGGGACACAGTGCTCAGCCCCCTGCCATCCCCCTGCCCCCCCATGTCCCCATCCCCAGACTCACTCATGGAACCACCACTGCTCCACATGCTCCTCGCTCCGCTCCAGCAGCTGGTGGCAGGCGAAGTCCGAGGGAGCACAGACGCCCTCCAGCACCTCCAGGAGACGGGTCTCACTGCAGGGATACAGGAGTCAGTGTGGGGACACATCCCCTGGGGCAGCTGGGCTCCTCCAGTTGTCACTAGTTGGGCTCACTCACCTGTGCTGGTACTTGGACAGCTTCTCCTCCTCCCAGGCTGTGTTGCCCCCGCCAAAGCCCTCATGCTCTGTCCGCTCCAGGCCCTGGGCACAAGGCGGGGGTGGCAGCACAGCCATGGGACCCCCCGGTAACCTCCCTCCCCCTAAAGTCCCACAGAGCTGTGTCCCTCTCCTCCCCACGAAGGACACACCATCCCCCAGGATCTGCCACCCTCTCCTCTCCCTAGAACCCAGCCCCTGTGCCCCGGGACTCCCTCCCCTCCCTAGCGATGCTGTGGGAGTGCTCCACCTCACCAGAGTCCCCCAAGCCACCCTTGTAACCACTCTGATCCTCCCGGCCTGTGCTGCCTCTGGCCTCCCTCGGCTACATCCCCCCTCCAAGAACCCGCTTCATCCCTGCTCACCACCACTGCCAGCCCGTGTCCCCCACGTCTGCCACCCGTGGGTCCCCCCCTGCACCGCCCCCTCGCCCCCGGTTCCACCCCAGCAGGGGCTGTGTCACCCATCACCCCCGCCCCGCACCCTGCTGAAGCTGTCAGCGAGGCCGCGGCAGGCCCGGCACGGCTCGGCCCCGTCCCGGTGGGGGTCAGGGTCGGCGCGGGCGGCCAGCAGGACCCCCCCGAGCAGGGCGGCCCCCAGCAGGGCCTCCCCGAGCCCGGGCCCCCCGCGCCGGCCCGGCAGCGGCGCCATCGCGCTCCCGCCCCGTCCGCACCACGTGGGCCGCGCCCGCTGACTCAGCGCCGCCGACCCCGCCAATGGCCGCGCGCCGCCGCCGCCGGCCCCCCGCGCTCAGCCAATCCGCGCCCAGCCAATCCGCGCCCAGCCAATCCGCGCTCAGCCAATCCGCGCCCAGCCAATCCGCGCCCAGCCAATCCGCGCCCAGCCAATCCGCGCCCAGCCAATCCGCGCCCAGCCAATCCGCGCCCAGCCAATCCGCACCCAGCCAATCCGCGCCCAGCCAATCCGCGCCGCCCGCCCAGCCCGCCCCCCGCGCCTGAAGGGGGGCCAAGGCCAAGAGCACCCGGCGCGGGGGGCGCGGGTGGGCCTCGGCCGGTGACCCCACAGCAGACTCGCTCGGGCTGGCGAGGCCCTCAACCCCCGATCCAAGGGGACACTCCCCATCACCACCCCCGCCCAGCCAAACCAGTCCTGTTCACCTTCCCCCCCTCCAGTCTAACTGGTGCAGCTCCCGCTCACCTCCCCAAACTGGCCCAGTTCCTTCTCACTGCCCCCAGATTTGCCCAGTTGCCCCTTATCCCACCTAGAACCGGTCCAATTCCCTCTCCCACTCCACCCTCCAAACTGTCCCAGTTCCCCCTCATCCCACAATGAGCTGGTCCAGTTCCCCATCACCACCCCAAACTGGTCCAGTTCCCCATCCAACCTCCAACCAAACTAATCCACTTCCTCTTCACCCTCCTTCCTGCCCCCATCCCCCTATACCTCCCAATCATCCCTCCACAACCCATTCCAGTCCCCCGTCATCCCTCCCCAAGACATCCCACTCCCCACTGGACTCAGAGCTGGACTCAAGGTCAGGAAAAGCACTGTCACCCCTTTATTCCCCCACTGCCCGCCGCAGCCCCTCAGATGCCGCTGCCACATATGGCTCTGGCCACCGTCCCTGCCACCAGGCTGGTCCCACCAGTGCCTGCAGGAACCCCCCCATCTCAGTGGGCAGTGCAAAGGCAGGGGCTGCCTGCAGTGCTGGGGGCACTGCCGGCACCAAGGCCTCCAGCTGGACCACCATGTAGCGCCCAGTGCCCGCCGCCAGTGCCGGCATGGCACAGGACAGAGCTGCCGCAAACACCTCACAGGGTGCCACGGCTGGGACATCAGCAGGGCCAGGGCTGTGCTGGGGGATGAGGCTGCTTTCAGCAGCCCCGGCCTCCAGCACAACCCTGGCCCCCGTGTCCCACTGTTGTGCAGCAGCCACTGCGGCAGGAGAGAGGAGGAAGATGATGGTGTCACCATCACGCAGTGCCCTGCGGTGCTGGGCGTGCAGCCAGGGCAGTGGTCCCCACGCCGCTACCCCGCTGCCACCCCCTGGTGCTGCCACCACCAGCAGCCCCAGTGGGCGCAGAGCTGCCATCAAGGCACATGCCGCCCGCTCCGCCACCGGCTCCGCCGCGTGTACCAGCAGTGCCCGCCGGCCTTGCAGGGGACCTGGGGGGGATCATCAGTGTCTGGATCCCTCTAGGCACCCTGTACCCATGCTGGGAGCACCCGTGATGGGAGGAGAGCATTCTTTGCCTCTGTCCCTCAACCTCCCATACCCAAGCTAAGGAACAGGCATGATGGGAAGCAGCTAAGACCACCACTGACGTGGGACCCATCCCCTGCTCAGTCCCCCGGTCCCCTTCCCGAATCCCCTTACCCACCCTAAGGGACAGCCATCATAGGAGACAGGTCATAGGAGACACAACCTGTCTTCCCATGGCTAGGATTGCCACCCTCTTCTCTGTTCCCTACACCTCTACCTACCCTGTGGGGCAGGCAAGCCTGGACCTGTTCTGGTAGGGGAGCCCACCCTACTCTGCCCCCTGACCCCACATCCCCCAGATCCCAGGCTCACCCCACACTCACCCTCAGAGCCATAACCAGCCCTCAGTGACTTCAGCCATCCTGTGAGGAGGAGAGGCAGTGAGGTGGGATCCTGGGAGGGGTCCCAGGACAAGCATAGCCCCCAGGGGTGCACCACTCACCTTTCATGTCCTCCTTCTTCAGCACGAGCAGGAGTAGGAGACAGGCAGCTGCCAGCAGCACCCCCATCCACACCAGTGCCCAGTGGGCACGCAGGTCTGTGGGGCAGGATCTGCATCCACCAAGGGCCCCCGGCACCCAGGAAGGTCTCTGGTGGCTACACAGGTGGGTGCCCTCCCTCAATTTCCCATTTTTCCCCCTCTCCAACACCATGGCCATTGACACTCACACTTGTGCATGGGACAGGCCCAGAGCACGACCTCGGTGCTGTTTTCAGGGTGCCAGATCTGGGGGGACACAGGGACATGTCAGATGCTGCCCGGTCCCTGACCACTACCTGCTGGCTGCCCACACTGACCTGCCAGCACTGCCCTGCTGCCACATCCTGCTGCAGATCCTGCTCCAGCAGCCCGGGGTGCCCCCTTCCCTGCAACAGCACAGGGGGTCAGGCAGCTGTGCCACCACTGCTGGCCACAGGAGTCCCTGTGCCACCACTGCCACCACCACCAGGACATGGGTGTCCCTGCCCTTTACCGTGCTGGTGAAGCTGGCGAGGGGCGTGCAGGCATCCTGCTCCACAGCGCACAGCGAGGCGTTCCCCCCACGCTCCAGCAGCAGGAGGTCATCGGGGCGGCCGGGCAGCGCTCCTGGGGATGTGCCAGGGGGCTGGGGGGGCGGCGAGGGGAGGCCAGGGCAGGCTTCCCCCCAGCTGGACCCACAGGCTGCCCCTGCCTTCCCACTCCAGCAGTACTCACGGTCCCGCAGGCACTGGATCGACCGGACCTGCCCACCACTCCAAACCTGCCCCAGAGAGCAGGTTAGCAGTGCCTGGGGCTGCCTGTGGGGCTGCCCATGGGGCAGCTGTGGAGCAGAGAGGTGTCCTACCTGCACACAGAGGTTGGGGTGTGGCCGCAGCCTTCCAAACTCCTGGGGTCCCTGTGATTGGAAGGGTTGCTCCATGAATGCCACCTGCACCCTTCACGAGCCCCCAGCATCCCACAGAGCCCCACTCACCTGCCCTATGGTGGGCTGCTGCAGGCCAGGGAGGGGCTGGCAGGGCCCGGAGGGCACTGGCTGCCAGCAGGGCACCAGCTTGGCTGGGAGGTCACAGGGGGCTGAGAGGGAGCAGGTCAGCACCTGCCCCTCAGTGTGCAGGACCAGGTGGCTCTGCATCCACAGTCGCTCCCAGGCCTTGGCATCTGTGGTGGCACCAGGAGAAGGGTCTCACCCCATGTAGTCTCCCCTCAGGTCCTTCTGTGTCCCAGCAACCCCACACCCCAGCCCCAAGGTGCAGCTACCATGGGAGAAGGGGCACAGGGTGGCCCTCAGTGGGTCCTGGGTCTCCAGCCAGACCTAGGAGCAGAGAGAGAGACATGAAAAGGGAGGATTTGGGATATCCATGCTGTGACTGTGACTCAGCTGGTCCTCTTGGGACACATGGAGCCTGGCAAGCCTCTTTTTTGGTGGCACTCTGCCACCCCCACAGTGCCCCAGCTGGGTGCCCACCTGCAGGCAGAGGCAGGGCAGCACCTCATCGGCAGGCAGGCTGTAGTTCATGGGTCTGCTCTGCTAGCAGCAACCAGATGTGGGTCACCCCGTGGCAAATTGTGCCCCAGCAGGGTCACCCAGGGGGACCTGCTCCCAGGGAACCCTCTCCCAGCACACTGCCTGTAACACAGACACGGCTTCTCGGGAACAGGGAAGGGGGCAGCAGCCAGGGATCAGCCAAGGTGGGGGGTCAGGGAAGGGGGTCATACTCACCACGGTCACTGCATGCCCCGGCCCACCAGTGCTGTGGCTCCGGTTGTGGTAGAGCCGGAGCGTGTAGCTGTGCCCCGCCACAGCCCCTTGCACCTCCACAACCACCTCTTTCTGCCCTGGGGAGATCTGCAGCCTGGGCACTGCACCAGAGCCGGCTCAGGTCACCCACCTCCTGGCACTACCCATCCAGCCACATGGCACAGGACATGGCACCCACAGGGTCACTCTTGCCCCCAGCATCCAGCATCCCCCAGTTCTCCCCAGGGGATGCAAACCAAGGTGGGGTGACACCAGCACATACCTTGGCACTGGGGGACAGCAGCCTGTGCCGGGGGCCATGAGCAGTCTGTGGGGACAGGGAGTCAGTGGGCAGGGGGATGGGACCACCGCAGGTGGCACACCGGGGCTCACCTGGCACCCGCTTCTGCCGGTTCAGACTCCGCTGTCCGCGTGAATTTGTGTACGCCGTGACATGGAGCTCGGAGCCCAGCGGTGCCTCGAAGCACCGGAAGATCACCCAGCCCTGGGCAGGAAAACCACCACCCCTCTGCGGTGAGGCACCGGCACCGCCAGCACCCACCTCCCTGGGGCACGGGACCCCCGTGCCATGGAGATGCACCGGTGCCAGCGCCCACATCCTGAGTGCCCAGGGACTGACAGTGTTGGGACACCCATTGCCAGTCCCCGCACTTACGTACCAGGGTTCGGTTGCGCTGTGTGGGGGCCAGAGGTGCCCAGACCTCCACAGCCACACAGCGGGAGGAAGCAAATGTGTGCCCTGAGAGCAGCAGCAGCCCAGTGACATTGGGCTGGGACAAAGTGGCCCCAGCCACTGGTGACCACTGTCCCCCACCACTGCCATCCTCTGCCCCAGGGATCCCTAGCAGCACGGAGTGGTGGGTTTTGGTGGCAGTGGTGGTTCTGGTGGCAGGTGCCAAGGCCAGGCGCACACGCGCCTCCAGACAGGGCACACAGGCCGTGGGCTCACTGCAGTGCAGTGCCGGCTCCAACCGCAGATGAGCCAGGGACAGCCCATGGCCAGGCCCCGGAGGCTCCGTCCCACACAGCACGTCGGTGTCTGGGGGGACAGGAAGGTCAGTGTGGGGGTGGGTCCCCATGCCCTGGGTGAGCTGGGGGCCATGGCGTGGTGGGGGCACTTACCCAAGAGGCGGCAGGCGAGGCCCTGGGGGAGGCGGGAGTGAGGCCGGTGGTGGTGCTGGCTGCCCAGTGCCCCCGTGCTGGTGACATCGACCCACCTGGGAGCAGGCCAGGCTGTCGCGGGGGCCCCCACGCCCACCCGCCGCCGTCACCACCAGCACGACCAGGAGCTGCCCCAGCGTGGGCATGGCGGGGCCGGGGCCGTGGGGCGCCCCGGCCCCACACTGTCTGCTCCCAAACAGCCCCACTCCCGGCTCCACCGGCCCCGCCGCGGCCGACGGCTCCTGCTTCCTGCTCTGATCCCGGACACCCGGGTCCCTGCGTGGCGTCAGCAACCGCCCTGGGGTGGGGCCTCCTGTTCCCGCACCGACCACGGAGGGATCCGTGCCCCGGCACCCCCGGGAGGGCTTGGGGCCCCACAGGGATGAGGTTGGCCCCATGGCATGGGCACGGTGCCCAGGCTGGAATCAGGCAGCCCCAGCGACTGTGGGATGCAGTGTGGCAGTCGTGCCGGGACAGGCTCTGCCCAGCCGGGTGCGTTCTCTTGCCCCCGCCCCGTGCTGCAGAGGGGCATGGGGAAGCCTCCACCCCCCCAGAGGCACCAACAAAGTTCCCCCGGCACACCAGATGGACAGCAGGGCAGGGTGAAATGATGCCTTTATTGCTTCCACCACAAACCAGGTCCTGCTGGCAATGTCGGAGCAAGGAGAAGGGCCAGGCTGTGCCCAGCGCCTGCCCCTCCAAGCCCCCTGTGCCTGGGCAGGGAGTCCCCCCACCTCTTGGCTTCTTCCAGTACCACCTCGACCCCTCGCTCAGCTGTGTTGTCCAAAGGGGCTTCTACAGGCTTTCCTCTGGAGCAGGTCCCTGTATAGGAATAAAGCCGTCCCTGCCCAGGACAGCATCTCTGCTCCTGGCCCCAGGTGACCAACTGGATGCTTGCTCCAGCCACTTCAGCCCATTCCATCGCTGAGGCCAATCCTGCTTGGACCCCTGCGGCCCCTGGCTGAGGCACCCATGGGCACCCCTCCTGCGCTGCAGTGGACACGCTCACCTGAGCCCTGCCCCTCCACGGCAGAGCCCCTGCCCTCACCAAGGCTGTGCCCAGCCCTGCCCGCCCTGCAGCCATGCCCAGCTCAGTCCCAGCTCCGGCATTCACGTGCCAGCAGCTGCAGCAGCTGCCCCAGGGGGCCGGGGCGGCCGGCTGCCCTCCTCAGCCCCCGCCTCTATCAGTCGATGCAGGAGCCCCCCAGTCCTGCCCTGGCGGCAGCAGCGGGGGGCCGGGGGGCTGCCCCGCAGGGCACCCAGCAGACCAGGCAGCTGCCGGGGCAGGCGGTAGGTGGGCAGGGGCCGGAGGGGCCGGGGCACGTCGTGGGGGCTGCAGAGCCGGCTGAAGTAGGCCAGGACCCACCCGCCGCCACAGCCTGCCACACCCAGCTCCCCGTGCAGGCAGGCCATGGCTGCCCCAAAGATGTCATGGGCATCCCCAGGCATCCCACTGGCCACCCCGACCTGCCACCGACGAAAGAGCCGGGCACTGCCCCTGCTCCAGAGGAGTAGGACGGTGCCACGCTGGCGGCCCACACGGCCCCGCTGGGCATAGAGCCAGGGCAAGGTGCCTGCCTGCCCCAAGCCACCTGCTTCCCACAGGTCCAGGCGCACGTCGCAGCCCAGCCCCGCGCGCAGCCGCTCAGCCAGGGCGCACACCAGCCCCAGGTGCTCCTCCGAGTCCGGCGAGTACAGCAGCAGCACAGGGCGCCCGCCTGGGACACCTACAGAATGGAGGGGACAGCAGTGACAGCCCAGCCCCACATCCCACTGATATCCCCTGGAGGAAACCCTGGCATCCACCACCATCCACTGCTCCAGGACCATCTGCAGCCCAGGAGCCAGCACACCCTGACAATCCAGCCCGATGACCATCGTGGCTGCTGGCCCCATCCTGCAGGCCCCCAAGGTGCCCCTCACCATTGTCCGGCCTCCAGGCACTGCAGCAGTTGAGGAGCAGCACGGTCACGACCAGCCCCAGTGCCAGCACCAGCCCCAGCAGCCCAAAGTGCCTGCGGGAGACTGGGAGAGGGGCAGTAAGGGGGGTGTCTGCCCATCTCTGCTGCCCCCTGCGTCCCCCCAGGACCTCCTCTCACCATCGGGACAGAGCAGCTGCTTCCGAGCAAAGTGCACGTCCGAGCGCCACACCTGAGGAAGGAGCTGGGTGAGGGGGGGGCCGTGTTGGGATGTCCCCGATGGAGCAGGTGCAAGCACGGGGGTCACCTTACCAGCACACAGCTGCCCAGGACCTGCACTGGCAGCAGCAGTGCCAGCTCCCCTGGGGCAGAGCCCTCTGGCTGCAAAGCAGAAGTGTATGGTCAGCGCAGGTCTGTCCCCACCATGTCCCCCCAAGCCCTGCACCACTCACCTGTGTGACAGTGTAGAGAGGGGCCTCAGGCTCACACTGCCCACCCCGGCGCTGGCACAGGGCTGCGCTGAAGGCCGCGGGGATGCGGGAGCTGAGGTGCAGGCGCAGCTGCAGCCCCCAGACACTCACTGAGACGTTCCAGGCGGTCTCTGTGGCCACCAGAGAGAGAGGGGAGGTTGCAGAATGCGCAATGGGATGAGGGACGTGAGGGACCTCAGTGAGGGCTGTGCTCAGCTCAGGCGTGCCTTCTGCCTGTGGGGCTCACCTGGCCAGTGGGGACACTCCACATGGCTGCTGTTCCCATAGGAGAACTGAGGGATCAGCAGAAAGAGTGGGTGAGCTGCCATTGCCTACCACAGCCCCCCAATCCCTTCCCAGGTGGTGCCCACCCACCCACAGGGGCTTACTCGGAAGCAGAGCTGGGGGTGCACGTCCACCTTGTCCAGTGTGTAAACCTGGAATGCACAAAGTGTGCGTCACTGTCACCATCCTTGATCCACGCACTCCACAGACACCTCAGTGCTCACCTGCTGCCCTCAGGGGACTGTGGGGTCCAGTGGGTGCCCCAGCCAGGGGCACGGTCCTGCATCCCATGACACCTTGGGACTAGGACCCCTCACCTGCTCCTCCTCGCTGGCTGTGGAGTTGGGGATGTTGTGGCAGGGTGCAGCTTCATCCGCTGCCTCCCTCCAGCACAGCGTGGCCTGTGGGTGCAGGGGGCAGCTGGCAGTCAGCGCCATTGCCATCTGGTCCTTGCTGCTGGCACTGTAGTCGTGGAAGCGCACCGAGGACCACAGCTCAGGGCCATCTGTGGGACACTGCATCAGTGGGCTGGGGATGCTGGGGGACACTCTTGGGACCCAGCTGCCCTCCCCACAGGCACTCACAGGCATCCGGCTGATCACGGAAGGGGCAGCGCTTGCTCCGCAGGCTGTCGTGGTGAAGGTAGGAGGCCTAGGGGAGCAGAGTGAGGAGTGGGGGGCAGGATGTGCCCCCACTTCTCCTGCAAGGGCAGACAGAGGCTCCAGTGGCTGCAGGGGGAAGGTGACCCACCTCAATACACAGGCAGGGCACCAGGAACTCATATGGCAGCGAGACGCGGTGGCCGCCTGGCACCCGCACCTGCAGCAAGGAGGGAGAATAAGCTGATGGGGAGTGTGCCCTTCAGTCTGAGACGGGGGTATTGGGGGCAGAGCCGTTACCTGCTGGTGGAAGGGCTGGGGCAGCTCCTCACACTCCAGGGCCAGCTGATGGCACAGCCGCACCATGAGCGCAGGACCCTTGGGCACCCACACCTCAATGGCCCGTGCCTCAGGGACCCACGCATGGGTGAAGACAGGCTCTGCAGAGTAGGCAGAGGGTCAGCTGGCACCAGTATCCCCCCAAGACACCCCCCGGGACTCCCCATTCTCACCACGTGGCTCAGTGGTGACCAGGCGGCTGCGGCTGAGGGACAAGCCCCGGTCCGGGATGGTGCGGAGGGAGACGAGGACCTGCTGCCCACTCTCAGCTGGGAAGCAGTCGAACTGCACCTGCCACTGTGGGGAGCAGGGAGTCAATAGGCACCACCAGCCCCGGTGTCCCCAGGCCCTAACACCCACCGCAGACTCACCGTCGAGCTGTCCAGCACCCGGCGCCGCTGCCAGACCTGCAGCCAGCCGGCCCGGTTGGAGCCCAGCTCCAGGAAGGTGAGCAGCAGCCCACGGACACCGCCGAGCTCTGCGAGAAATCGGCGTGGGGTGTTGTCACAGGTGGGAGGACGGGGTGTGTGTCCCCCACCGTGGGGACGCCCGGCCCCGCCACCCCCGCCCGTACCTGCGGCGGGGAGGGCCAGCCGCACCCGCAGGCAGGGCTGGCAGGGCTGCGCGGGCAGGCACAGCCGGGCACGGCTCAGCGACAGGGCAGGCGGCTCCAGCGGCGGCACGGGGCGGGACGGGCGGCGGCAGCGGGGACGGCTCAGCGTCCTGTCGGCTGCAGAGGGAGAGCACAGAGGGAGCTGCCGTGAGTCGGGGGTCCCGCAGGCACCGGGAGCCCCGGGGATTGGGAGCCCTCGGAAGAGGAGAGCCGGGGGAAGGGGAGTCCTGGGGAGGAGTACGCGGAAGGGAGGAGCCCAGGTGATCTGGAGTCCTCGCAAATGGGGAGCCCCAGGCATCCGGAGTCCTCGGAAGCGGGGAGCCCCGGCGGCCGGGGAACTCCGGGGACCGGGAGTCTTCAGAAACGGGGAGCCCCGGGGATCCGAAGTCTTTGGAAGCGGGGAACCCCGGGAGCCTGGAAGCCCCGGGGATCGAGACTCCTCGGAAGCGGGAAGCCCCATGCCCCGGACACCGGGAGTCCCCCATCCTCCAGGACCCGGTAGCGGCGGGCGGGGGAAGCCCCGCCGTCTCGCCGCACCCTGGAGGAGCCGGTGTCCCCGGGCAGGGGCAGCCCCGCGCGGGCAGCCCTGCCCCTCTCCCGGCCCCGCCGCTACTCACCGGTGGCCCGGCACTCCTGCAAGCAAAGACACAGGGGTGAGCGCGGCGCCGCCCGTCCCCCACCCACCTTCCCTGGTCACCTCCCTCCCTTTCCCCGGCGCTCACGAAGTTGGCGGAGACCCTGAGGCGGGTGACGGCGGCCCCTGTGCCGGGCGGCAGCAGCAGCAGCGCGGCGGCGGCGGCGAGCAGCACCGGACGCCCCATGGCCGAGCGCCGCCGCTCCCCGCCCCGCCCCGGGCCGGCCCCGCCGCATTCCTGCACCGGCACGTGCGGCCCCGCCGCCCCCCCCGCCGGGCGGCGCTTCCTGCGGCGCAGACAGGCGTGGGAGCGCGGACGGTGCTTTATTTCCATAGAGCAACACGCAGACGAAGGGGAACGTACCCCAGGGAACCCTCCACAGCCCCAGCCCTCGGGGATTCCCCCCCTCCCCGTTACGTGCGAGCCCGGGGCCGTGGCGTGGCTCAGACACCCACAGCTTGGTCCCCGGGGGCCCCCCACCCACCGGAGCCGCGCCAGCGCCGCCCCACAGGACTGAGCTGCAGAGCTTCAGCACTTCACGGAGCCCACCCATTCCCACTCATTTCTTCTTCTTTTCCTGCGTGCTAGTGAACCAGGAGTCCAGTAGCTTCTTGCTATAGTAGAGCTGCCAGCCATGGACCTGCGCGGCCACCACCACCACCAGATACATGACGGAGACGGCCGAGAAGCCAAAGATGAAGCGGTAAGCTTTGCCATGGCGGTAGAGCTGCTGCGCCATGGGGAACATCTCCATGGCCCCGTAGATGAGGGGAGCCACGGAGAAGAGGCCGGTGCTGATCATGGAGAGCACCAGGTAGCTGATGTTGTTGCGGGGGAAGGAGAGCAGGCCCAGGAGGGAGGGCAGGATGCTGAGCAGGTAGGGGTACTCCCATTGGTAGGGCATGGCCACCTGGTCGTGGGGCAGAAGTTTGAGGTGCCCCACGCACATCTGGGCCAGCAGCAGCAGCCAGATGACCACGTGCGTGTAGATCAGCTTCTTGATCTCCGACTTGAGGGTCACGCTGGGGAGAGAGCACGGGGTCGTCAGAGCCTGCTGGGGGTCGCGTGTCCCTCCCGGGAGCCCCCGGGGGAAGAGACACCTACCTCATCTGGTAGTGCGAGGCCACGCGCTCCCGGTGCTGGAAGTCGCTGCCGTCGGTGCCGGGGGCGCGGGGACCCCCGCGGGAGGCCATGGTGCTGTCCTGGGGAGGCACAGCGTCAGGCGGGGCCGCTCTCCCTGCCCGCCTCCCCAGCGCAGCCTCGGCCCCATCCCCCCGGGGAACCCCCGCCCCGGGCCTCCCTCCCACAGTGACAGCCCCGGGGCCCCTTCCCCGTAACCGCCCGCCCGGAGCAACCCCGGCGGGTGCCGCCGCTCCCCCCCGTGCCGCACCTGCGGGCGGGACGCTCTGCCCGCGCTTCCGCCGCTCTATGGCCGCGGCCGCGGGCTCTCCGGATGCCGGGGCGGCCGCTCGGCGCAGGCGCAGTGGGGCCGCCATGGCGGGCACCGGGAGAGCCGCTGCCGCCGCGCGAGGGCTGGCGCGAGCGGGAACGGGGGCGCGCGCCGCGGGGTCAGCGAGCGACGGGGGAACGTGGGGGACACGGGGAGGGTGTGACGTGGGGCGTGTGTGACACGGAGTGCATGGGGCGCGGGGTGTGTGACATAGGGGGTGTGCACAGGGGATGCGTGTGCACATAGGGTGCGTGGGACACGGTATGCGGGTGTACACAATGTACTTGTGGCATGGGGGCTGCGTGTACATACATGGGGTGCTTGTGTGAGATGGGTGTGTGACACGGGCTACATGTGATATGGGGTTCATGTGATACGGGGTACATGTGGACATGGGGTGCGTGGGACATGGGGGCGCTGTGACACGGGATCTGTGTGACATGGGGTGTGACACGGGGGGCGTATGACACGGTGTGTGTGTGTATGTGCATGGGGTGTGTGACATGGAATGCACACGTACGTGGGGGGATGTGACACGAGGGGTGCGTGTATGTGAGGTGCATGTGAGACGGTGTGTGTGACATGGGTGCACACATGTGAGTGCAGAGGGGTTATGGGGTGGGTGTGGGAGTGGGGACACTTGAGGTTGCAGATGTGTGAGCACGGGCTGGGGAAGTGTGAGGGTGCAGGGACAGGCAAGGGGGTACAGGTGTGGGTGCAGGGGCACACCTGGCAAGGCAGGGTAGTCAGTGGAGGAGTGATTTACGGACACATAGGGGAGGGTCGGGTAGGCAGCTGGAGGAGTCCCACCCATGCTCCCCCCTCACTCCATCCCCTGCAGGCAGAGGCGGCCACTGGGCCCCGAGAAGACACTGGGGCTGCTGGAGGCTTCAGTGGTGCACCAGGAAGGTACCGGGGGAGAGGGAGATGGGGGCAAGGGAGACAGTGCGGGGGCACATCCTGACCAGGTTTCCCCTCGCCAGGAGCCCTGCTGGCACTGAACAAGCCCCCGGGCCTGCCTGTCCTGGGTGAGTATGGGGCAGGAAGGGAGGTCTGCTGGGGGTACCTACCTCGGGGGCTCAGCAGGTGCTGACCCCCCAACCTCTCCCCAGGACAGCCTGGCGAGCTGAGCCTGGATGCACTGCTGCCAGTGCTGAGGCGACGGCTGGGCCTCCCTGCTGAACTCCATGTGGTGAAGGCTCCTGCCAGGTATGGTGGGAAGTTCCAGGTCGGAGGCCCTGAGGCGGAGCCAGGGGGGCCTTTCCCCCTCTGGGGCTCAGAGTTGCCATGTTCCATAGGGAGTGTTCTGGCCTCGTCCTCCTGTCCAGCTGCTACCACACCACTAAGAAGCTCCAGCAGTTCTTCACCAAAGCCCGCCAGAGAGGCCAGTACCCTGCCACATACTGGTAAGTCCCTGGGCCCCTGCCGTGTTGGCATGGGGGTCCTGTCCCCTCCTCACCACCTCTCCCTGCAGTGCTGTCACTGTGGGAGTCCCGGCAGAGGCAGAGGGCGAGATCCGCACTGGGCTGAGCTGGCAGCAGCAGGGTGACACTGCCATGGTAAGAGGGTGCTGGGGGTGTGGGAGGTGCCCTGGGGAATGCTGAGGGCTGTGCTCCACAGGTGGTGCCAGTGCCAGCCCCAGGATGCCACAGCCTGGCCAGGAAGGAGGTGAAGATTACCCTGACACGCTACCGGGTGCTTGGTGCCAGGGGGGGCTGTGCCCTCCTCCAGCTCCAGCCCAAGACAGGTGAGTGGCTGCACACCCCATGCTGCCATGCTGCCCCACCAACACAATCCCATCTTCCCCCTGTGCCTCCCCAGCCTTCCCAGAACAGCTTCAGGTGCACCTGACGCTGCTGCTATGCCCGGCACTGGGTGACCACGAGCACTCCTCCCGTGTGGGCAGTGTCCTGGGGGTGCCCTTCCTGCTGACCCCCGAGGCCGCCCCGACCCGCACACAGGTATGTGGCCAGGGTGGATGCTGGCTGGGGGATTCAGCATAGCCCCCAGGATCCCACTGAGCTACTCACTCTCATTGCAGGTGCTGGACGAGGAGTTGCTGTCCCAGCTGGGACTTTCACTGCAGCAGATCCGTCACCTCCCACTCCACATCCACCTGCAGGAGCTCGTGCTGCCCAAGGGCCCCCTCTATGCACCCCCACCACCCCACTTCCTGCGGACCCTGCGCTGCCTGGGGCTGCCTGAGTGCCCTACTGCTGCAGGGGGATCCCCACCCCACAGCGCTCTGCCAGCCCATTAAAATCCCCACCTGCAGCTGGGGTGGCTCAACACCCAGTTCTTTTCTTGTCACACACAGGATGTGTTTCCCCCCACTGTGCCCCTGGCATTGCCAGGGGCACCAGCCCTGCCACCCCTTTGTGCCCAGCCTGGTTCCCAGTGCCGGGGTGCAGCGGCACCACCGCCACAAGAGGTGGTGTCTGGCGTGTCTGCCCCTGCTATGTCTGGTGGGGGTGACTGCAGGCAGGCAGGAGCAGAGGCAGCTTTTCCTGCCTGCTCTGTGCCCCAGCAACCCCAGTTCCTGCCTGCAGCCCCATCCCAGGGGCAGCCCACAACTTGCACACACAGAAGGTCCAAACCAGGCTCCTTATCACAGAAGTATTTTGAAGTGCATATGAGGGATGAAGTGGGGACCATGACACAGCAGTAGGGGTGCACTGCAGTGGGAGGGAGCCAAGTGCTGCCATGCCGGCCCAGCACGGATGGGCAGGGTGCTGTCTCCTCCTGGGAATGTCTCAGTATCCCAGGACACACTTCTGTGTCCCATTGGGAACTGCCATATGCTTCTGCTCTGGGCTAGGGTTGTCAATGATCTGTGCAGGCAGAGGTAGGTGCAGTGGCCTGGCAGGAGGAAAGGAGGGGACACAGCCCAGGGCTAGCCAGGGGTTGCTGGGGGCTCCCCAGGGCAGCGGCATGGGCACCCTATCCAGGGGACAGACATCGATCAGGGGCTGAGCAGCCTGGGGCTGCCTGTGTGGGTGACAGAGCCATGACAGCCCCTGGCTCCCAGCAGAGCGGCTCCAGGGCTGTGGCAGTGCTGAGGGGCCAGAGCTGGGGCGGCACCATTGCCATGGAGGAGGCAGCTTCCCTGTTGCTGCTCTGGGCTTGGGCACCTGGGTGTCTCTGGCTCCTGGAGGCATAGGGAGCTTGGGGGCACTGAGCACAGTGGTGGGGGGTTGATGATGTGCTTGCTGTGGCATCCAGGTGTCTCTGGCCCTTGGGGGCACAG